GGGGGGGGATTTACATACCTAGCCACACAACTCTTATGTATGTACATATCTCACACCTAAATCTTCATATTTAGAAGGTGTATTTGACTTTTAAAAATTGATAATAGTGCTATTTTTTAATAGGATATTAAAGATAATATGAAAGTTTCAGTGTGAGATATGTAAAAACATAAGAATTGTGTGCTATGTACGCCAATGCCCCTAAAAAGAATGACCAAAGCAAATATAAAAGCATATAAATAGGGCCAAAAATAATTGAAATAACCACATACCCAAAGAATGCTTCCACCAGCAACGCCACCTTTAATCTCATCAACTTCTGAACCAGGCTTATTCACATCAAAAGAACGAATGACAATCATGTTTGGCGGTGAGGTAAAGTTTCTCACTGGAATGGGGATTTTGTTGACAAGATACTCGCAAACAACGTCTATGTTATACCGTAACTGCGCAGAGATAGGCACAACAGGCGCACCATCAGCAATTGTGCCCTGCATCACAGCTTGATTCATGAGAAACAGTAAAACACAATAGTAAAGTGCCAAAATAGTCCCCTAACTATTTAGATGGGGCAATTTTAATCCTAGAGTTTATAAAAATGTCAATTTAGTTCCCAAACTCTTTTATTATGGGTTGAAAAAATCTGTAGTGAGTACCATTTTAACCCTGAATAAAATAATCTCGTCACTAATTTAGCAATCGATGCATAAGAAACAACAAAACAAGAGTAAAGTGTCAAAACATTTCCCTGACTATTTAGATGGGGCTATTTTAGTTCTAGAATTTATAGAAGTACTAAATTAGTGCCGAGATTGTCTTAATGGGAGATAACGTGGTCCTAATTGAGGACTACTTCAACCCATAACAAAGTAAATTGAGGACTAAATCAACACTTACATAAATGTTGGGACTAAAATAGCCCCCTAGAAAGAGCCAGAGAACCATTTGATACTTAACACGTAAAACACACATAATGGGTATCTGGAATGCATTTAGCAAAACAATAAAGGAAAATAATTTTTAGGAAGATTTACATACATATCACTAAATTTTTATGTATTAACATATTTTAACACCTAAACTTCAGTTTTTACATACATGCCACTATAGCTACGCAAAAAAAAATTATATTTTACATTTTACAAGTTAAAATTGGTGGTGTAAATGTTAAAAATGAAAAGTTTCGGTGTTAGATATGCAAATACATAAAAATTAGGTGGTATGTATGTACATACCCCTATATTTTTAATAGAAAAAAAAAATCATCTCGAAAAAATCTGACCTGGATAAATTTCTGGATGGCCTCATGTTGATTAAGCGCCACACTTTCTTGAATTAGATCAATCTTATTCTGTAGGATAATAATGTGCTGTAACCGCATAATTTCGACTGCGGCAAGATGTTCGGAAGTCTGAGGCTGAGGGCAGCTTTCATTGCCCGCAATTAGAAGCAAAGCCCCATCCATGATTGCAGCTCCATTAAGCATTGTTGCCATAAGAATATCATGACCCTATTAAGAGAAGTACAGTGCCATTAATATTCATAGGATTAGTCAGCACCATATTCATATATTAATTAGGAAGACATAGTTCATGGAGCAACCATTAATACAGGGTCAAATAAGTTATTTATCATAATGAGAGCTTGTAAAATCTTACGGCCTCTATCCCAGTAAAACTACAAAGACGTTTCAAAAGATAAATGCAACAGCAGCTTAAGCACAGATTGACCAAGTTCTCAACTAGCTGATTTCAAATGTTCTTTGGGTAAAAAAGAATGAGAAAAGTATTAAAATGGTCCACTAGCTCTGGCTCTTTGTCAGGATCATTTTGGCCCCATAGTCTAATAAATATCTATTTAGTACCCAAACACTTTTAAAGAGGGCTAAATAGTCCACCATGGAGACTATTTCAGCCCATATTATGAGAGTTTGCGGACTAATTTGAAGCTTTTATAAACTTCGGGAATAAAATTATCCATGTAAATAGTGAGGGGACTATTTTGGCACTTTACTCAACCAAAACCTTACAGGTATCCGGACCTCTAGATGCTTGCAAACCCTACTTAACACGAGAAGAATTCAGATATCTACCAAAAGTATTTCTGTGATCCACATGCCTGCGATTTCTCAGTTCAACAACTAGATTGGCATTTGGAAAGCAAAGTAGCTCTATAATTCCAATCTTAAATGAAACAAGATATCTGATAGTAACGATAAAAAGAAATATATTGGAGGCATATAATTGGTCTGCTTACCGGGCAATCAACAAAAGAGACGTGTCTTAAAAGCTTCATCCTGGCATTTTCAAAACCAGGAACATCACATAGAGGGCTGTCCTCTTTCCCGCTCCCATATGCTCTGCATTAAATGTTATTCAGCATGCTGCAAATAACTGCAACTACATTTTTTTATTCAATTTTTGGCTGAGAGGTCAACATACTTGTAGCACATGGGTCTTGGACATTTTTCGTCTTCACATTTATAGATCTTCGCATTTGCATATCCGAGTTTGATCGTAATGTTGCGTTCCAGTTCATTTTTAAAACGAACGGTCTACATGAATTTTTTTTTTAAAAAAAATTTAACTTTATACAGAAGTTTATCAAAAAAACAAACAGCAATAAAGAGTGCTAGCATAAAGATGCAGCAACTGGCTAAAAAAGAACCAGAATCACTGTTTTTTGAATGGCCGACAATCTAAATTAAAGAAAGAACCTTCAAAAAAGAGGCATTTACTTGCATACCACACAATTCCTATTAATTTTCATATTTAACATCAAACTTTTCTATTTACATGGATAACACACAAATATTTTAACATCATATAAAAGATATCACTCAGACAAACTTTATAAAAGCAAACTATAAATTTTCATTTCATGCATAGTTTTATAACACCAAACTATTACTTTAGGTGTTAGATATCTAAATATATTAAATTTGTGTGCATTTACGTAAATTTCCTTTTGAAAAATAAATATCATATCACACAGTCCATATCAGCATTCCCAATATTCTACATTTTTCTAAGCTCTACCATCTCTTTGAAGAAACTCAAAAATGATTTTTGCCATATTTCGCATTTACAGATATATGTTGACCCCATGCAAACTCTTGGGGAAAAAATTTTCTATCAAAAAGTTAAACTATACACCGGAAAATTTTTGTGAAGTAGTACAACATTAGGTAGAAGCCATAAAGGAAATAAACAAATATTTACCTGAACACCAGATATGGCCTTTACAACAGTTGACTTCCCATGGGCCACATGACCAATGGTACCTGAATTTTCAAACACAAACATTTTATATTTCATACAAATCACAGTTCCCACATTTCAGAAAGCAAAATCAAAGATTATGAAAAACATATATCCAACCCTAATTACGGAGAGACAATTACGAAAAATTATTAACAGCAGTTAACTGATCAAATACAAGTGCCAACAGAACAGATAGAGATTTATGAACTAGAATGGTTAAAAGACCAAATTAGAACCTGGCAACTTGAGAATTTGCATGTGTAAACACTAAAAACAATGGCTCAATCATTATGCATTCTAGAAACTTTACTCGATGTATGTATGTATGTGTGTGTGTGTGTGTGTTTGTATATATATAT